TATATATAGAGAGAGAGAGAGAGAGAGAGGTATAGTATTATTGGAATATCTTCAATATGGAGGACTGGATCCATAGTCGCGTAAATCAGATTCATCAGTTCTTCCAGGGTGCAGTTTATATAGGTTTCCAAAAAAGCACCCTTTGCATTTAGCCTCGACAGTGCCAAATTGATTTTTTGATAGTTGCATATAAACCAATAAGAACAATTTTAAAACCTCTATACCTGTAATAGGATAAATCTGATTTATGCCACTGTGAATGTGAGCTCACACATGGTAATCTCAAAAACATACCGAGAAAACTTTACACGGTTTAATAATGGCCGAATATTAATCTGTCGACTGCAAATACAATAAATATCAAGATTCCATTGAATGCTGAAAAGTTAATAAAGATGATATTGATTTGTTAATATTTATCAATTAAATAAAGATTCAAACCATTTAATAATACGTTACAAATTTGCTTATTTTGGGGGAAATTCACGTTTTTCCCATGAATTAAAATCGAATATTTGCACAATTAGAATCCATAATATAGAATCCAAATAGTTCATAATATTTGCCAAATCTTATTATCTTTAAGACATTTATGTGCAATTATTCGAGTTTTTATGTTGTATGTTGTAGAATAAAATGAAGGAGGTCGATAAAAGAAACCGTATACTTGAAAGAGATTGATGCACGAGAAGAGTTGGCCATTCCTACTTTAACCCAACTCCCCCCTCCCGGCAGAGCACTGACCGCGCTTCCCCTTGTTGCAGGTGTGGTTCCAGAATCGTCGCACCAAGTGGCGCAAGAAGCACGCGGCCGAGATGGCGACGGCCAAGCGCAAGCAGGAGGAGGCGGAGGGGCTGGCGGAGGGTGACGCGTCCGACCGTGAGGACGCCGGCGACCTGAGCGGCGGCGCCGCGGGCCGCGCCTCGGCCGCCAAGCGGCTGCGGCGCGAGCTGGCGGAGGAGGAGCTGGCGCGCCAGTGAGCGCCCACGCCCCCACGCCCCCACGCCTCCACGCTCCTACGCTCACGCCCACGCCCACGCCCGCGCCCCCCTGCGGCCCACGCACGGCGGAGCGCGTGCCACGGAAAACGCGCGGAAAAATCAAGACGTTTAACGGAGCGGTGTTTTCATTCTGGTTTTGAACGGTGGTTCAAAGTGGCGGAGGCCGCTGAACTCCGGAAAAATGTCCAAGTGTCGACATTCAAAGTGGCAGATCTAAAACGGCGGTTGTAAAATTACTGAATTTGTTGTACTTTGAAATTGATATGTTCGACGTCGAAAATATAAAAAAGCATGCCCTCTCTGATACTGCTTCTTCTGGAAGGATATCAATGTAAACGTGCAGCGTAATTTTTTTATATGCACATACCAACTTCTAATAGAATTTGAGGCTGGTATTAAAAATATTGTCTAGAAATTTCTAGAAGAGTTGGATATATCAATTAATAATTTTAATACAATAAAAGAAAGAAATCATTGTATTGAATGCCTTTAATTGCATTCGCTGCAATCTAGCCATTAAAATGGATGTGCTATATTGAACTTAAACTGTTAGAGACAATAATCGAATTCAGCCTCCAAAAGACAGCTAGCACAATTCATTAGTACATCACATTTTGTATAAAAAGTATGTACGCGCCAAATAAGATCTGCAGTTTTGAAAACTTACATTTTCACATCAGAATCAAATTCAACACACTTCTAAAGCTACGAAAACACTTGGATGCCGGATTGAACCCCCACTACGTTAATGTTCCTGAATGTTCCACGAGTTTCTTTCGACGTGAACCACTGTGCGCCGCAGAGCAGCGCTCGCCCTGCGGCGCGGCTCGTGTCCTCCAAGCACCCACGCCCCCCACGGCCCCAGGGCCCTAGGGCCGTGGCCCTAGGGCCCCATGGTCCTAGGGCCCCATGCCCCACGATGCGAGACATCCCGGCCCCGCCCACGGCTCGCCCACGCTCCTCGCGCGTCGCGTTGGATCGACGACTGCGACCGCGAGAGCGTCTACAACGGCGACCGCGACGGCGTCGTCCACGACGGCGACGACGACGACGAAGAAGACGAAGACGAGGATGATGATGAAGACGTCCTCCCGAGTGCTCGCGGACTGCAGTGCGCGCGCCCCCACGCCCGCTTTGCGACGCCCGGGCGGACGAGCGGAGGCCGCAGCCTCCGCCGCGCCTCACATAACCAAAGACTAATTCTATCTGTACAGTTTACACTTTTAAATTTAATCTTTCGATAGAGGCCTAATATGCGATGTCCAATACGTAGGCAGGGTGCCAGCCCCGGCCGGGCTTCGGTCGGGCCCGCGCGACCCCGCCCCGCCCTCGCCGGGGCCCCTAGTTTCTCTCTGTGTACCTCTATGTCCAATTGCATAGGTAATTGTGTGCCCATGAAATCACTGTAAATGTTGTGTACATGAAGATAATATTGAGTTCCGAGGAGTAATATGTAACAGATCTTGTATATGTACTAACAGCTAATATATAATTATTTGTAATATAAATATGTTGCCGATACGTTTTCTGTGTTTTATTCCGAAAAGCATGAGTACCTCTAGACATCCAGTACCGCTTCGGCAATACCTGTGTCCTGTGTAAAGACGCATCCTCTCTGGTGGTAGCGCCACTGTCCCATAGGCCGAGGCGACGCAGCAGGAGAGCGGATCAACTTGTCATTGGACTCCCCTCGGCCTTGCGGCCCTCCGCCGTGCTTCGCCATGTACTGGCCTGCCTTGCAGCTCCCCCTCAATTACACCTCACCTCAATTGGGACGTTGACACCATAATTAAATCGATACTCACTTTACCAATCCATCTGAGTATCAATAGGTCGGTAAAAAAGAACTGTATAAAACTATCCTTCCAATGTCAAATGATATCAATACACGAAATTACGTGCAATTTATGAAACTTTTCAAAAGTGTTCATGATATAATACATTTCTTACAGTTTATATTAATTTCCCTTTTAACATATTTTACACACTTCACACGAAAAAGATCATCTTTTCTTACTGTCAGTACAAGAGCTGCGTGAATTTCATCGGTGGACAGAACGGGATAAAAGTGTTATATTCTAAGAATGGAGTTTATGAGAATTTAGTAATCATTTTTCGAAACACACACTTGATATTCAGTATCTTTAGCGCGATATTAACAATTCAGATGTTTCAATAAACATAGCTTGCACATATTGAAAAAAAAAAGAAGTGAACCCAAGGGAAACCACTTGTCAGAATAGCCCGTTTGATTTAGATAAGAACCGCTTTGCGACGCCCGGGCGGACGAGCGGAGGCCGCAGCCTCCGCCGCGCCTCACATAACCAAAGACTAATTCTATCTGTATATTTTATTTGATTATTTTTAATTTTTTAATTTAGTAATTTAGTAATTAATAATTTAGTAATTAAATTTTGCAGGTGACTCTGACGGGGAGGTCCTAGGGTTCGAGTCCTGAAGGGTCGGAATTTTGATACTAAATGTATAGCTGGATCTAAGTCTTTCCTTTCTAGAAAATTCAAGCTATCGGCTGCTTTGATCAGTTTTCTTTTGTCCGAAAAATACTAGGCAAATGTGAGGCACAATATTAACAAAAGGGGCCACATACAACGCGCAATATATCCTTTGTCTTCCTTATCCCTTCCTCTCCCCCTCACACACTCTTACATGCATTGCATTACCACATATGTCAGGAGGTCATAGGGTTTAGATTCACAATCTATGAGCTGGGTAGATGCCTGGAGAGGGAAGCCCACAAACCGACGACGGATATCACCATCTCGGTAGGGAGGAACACCACCATCTCTGGGAATAAATCATTCACTCTTCAATCAGGACAAGCTCTGACGTCTTGAAACCATGTCAGTCAATCACTGATACTTCACATCGTATAAGTATACCAACGTCCTTAAACACAACCAGTGATTCATTACTGAGCAAGCTCGTTTCAGACACGTAGCGCGACTTGATCCTACCCCTTTTCGCAGTATTTGATCCAGTCAGCAACATTGAGTCACTAGACGCCACCGTGAGAGAGTTTCTTATTTATGTCTCTTCTCAACTTACTAGGCAAGTAAAGCACCATTGTGAGCAAGGAAACGTCACTTCGTCAATCCCTTTGCCAAGATATTCATTAACATTTTCCCTACTTAATTCACAATTGGTACATCATAAAAGAATTGCAAATAGAAATGCAAACGAAGTTTGGTATTGGGCGCTATGACAGCACAGTGATGAAACTATAATTACATAGCATGGTGGACACTGTCAACGATGGATCAAAAGGTCTGTAATTATGAAATGATTCCGTTATCCGCACGGTGATACAAAAGTCATTTCGGTTATCTAAGTAAAGTCAACACAATTCCCGTATTATCGTCGTTATAGTTATTACTATGCGCCTTAACACGTGTATTTCGCCATCCACCCCTCGTCATGCCGTCACGTCGTCATTGCGTGCCGTCATCACCGCGCGGCCACCCCCGCATCCATCCCGGGCCTGAGCGGCGCCGCCGCCGCCAGCGCCGCCTGCGCGTGGGGCGCCGGGGCGGGAGCAAGCGCGAGCAACGTAACCATAACAACGGAGCGGCATGGCGGCGGCGCCCGCGCCCGCGCGCCGT